GACTTGGCCTCAATGAGAAGTGTGCTGGATTTGATCAGCAACTAAGAAAGTCCTGAGAACAAGTTCCTTTTCCCCAACTGTTCCCCTTCATGCTTTTCTGCGCACATCATCTTAAGACAGACTGACCCAAGGGACTTGCTCTCCAAAAGTGATCATCAAGGTTACATGTCGTGTTTGTACAAAGCCGGATTCGCAGCTTCTGCCCTAGTGAAAATGCAGCACTGTGATCTGAAACAACTGCACGTGCTCTAGTGCTGATTTTTCACAGATTTCCTTCTATTCCACTACATGCACCTTAAGAAATGCTTTCTCTAAAAAATAATGATAATAAAAGGCTTTTTTTTCTTTTTGTATAATTTCAATGCATACCAGGTCACAGCTTGATAACCTTGATGTGATGACTTTAACATACAGCTACAGACATCCAGAGTATCCTTCTGCAAGACTGTCTTGACCTTTCAGTGCTTCAGCAACCAGCTTTCAAATGAATTATACAGATACTCATATTCAAAATATACAGCATGGGGCAGAAGGCTGACTGTCAGGAGTGACAATTGACAGAGTGAAGTCACACTTGCTGTGTTTTGCAGTTTTGCCTTGAGATAACCAAAAGACCTTCTAACAACATGATCCTGTATAGCCAGGAGCTCAGAGTCCAGCTTATGAGTGAGAAACTCAAGTACTGCAGGTTCCTTTGCGTGGTCACTCCTGAAATGGAAGAAGTTCGATTCTGGAATAACAACTCAGTTTTAAAGCACAGGACTTCTCCAGAATAGAGTCATTTGTGTTCTGGGGGAAGGTGCAAGTCAGAGGAAAGAAGATAGCTGAAGGAAACTCATCAGCCTACCTTAATAATAACCAAACTCATTGCAGCAGAATAGCACTAAGGCCAGTCAACAGCCCCTCATGCAGCCAGGCCTGTGTCCCAGCTTTCAAAAGCACATTGCTGTTTGCACACCATTTTAGTCCAATACAAATACTTGTCTCTAAGCTGCTTTTGGAAAAGCAGATGTGCGCTCCTTAGTCATGTAGGTATTACAGAAGTTTCTACTCTGCTCATATTAATTAAGAGGAGAATAACACTCATTAGAGATCCTAATTAGTACTAGAGTTGGCAGAGAGTTGGTGTATCATAAACATACAATGTTTAATGAGTACGTGGCAGATGTTAGTCATCTCATTTAACACACAGCTGGCAGAGGTTCCTCTCACAACAGAGTAGGATGGTAAAGAAGAACCAGCCACAGATATTGCTGTCCTTTGCAGAACCATTTCTGGGGCACTAGCTGACCCATTTCTTTTTTCCCTAGTTATCTGTTCCTAGAGGTTCACCTTGATCATTGTGAGCTAGCACAGCCCCACATATTGCCAAAGCTGCTGCATGTCTTTCAAAGATGAAGGCAAAGTATGTAAGAGGTTTTCTGGATGAAATAAAACAGGTAAAACCCCACAGAGCCAGCCAAATGCCAGTAAGGAGCCACACATACAATTACTGCAGTACACAGTACAGCAGTCCCTATTCTCCCCAAATTTGGGGGAATTTATAGGGTCGTGTCCTATTGCTGCCAGCAGTGTGGGAAACAACCACTGCAGACATCTCTATCAGATCATTAAGACTTCTCTATCAACAAATCACATATTAATGCCATCAATAAATTACTGCCAAGGAATAGCCCCATCAAGCAGCTGCTGCCTCTCTGGGAGAGCCTCACAGCTGTAGGTGGCTGTTGTGGTGGCCGAGCACCAGCAGCAAGCTGCACCCAGCCTCATGCTCAGCTGAAACTCATCCATCACTGCAAGTAGTTGCTTGACTCTTTAGCACTAACAGCATTACAAGACTACGATATTAAATATGAATAACTTATGCTGTTAAGCCACCACCTGCTAGAAATAGCAAGGAATTCATTTCAGTAATTTCATTGGAATATGAAAGTCTGGAAGTATTTTGCTTCAGGATGTGAATGTTTATTGCCATTTGCAGTGTTTTACTGCTTGGTAAGCTCCCCTAAATGGTTAGCTGCTCCTTCCATCAAAAACTCATTTTATTTTTCTTAAGTACTGCAGAGCTGTAGGAATTGCAAACAAGACATCTGCAACCTGGGCTTTATAAAAAGTCAGAAAATACATTTAAAAGAAATGGGGAAGCTTTTGGGGTGTATTTAGCCCAAAGGCTCATTTTAACAGTAGTTGAATGAGGTTTTTTTTTTTTTTTAACAATTAATGAAAATTAAATACATTAGCACAAAGCATTTGATAATCTTGCTTGTAGCACCAGCTAGTCCCCTGAGTGCTTTTATCATCATCCATGAGATGCAGCTGCACTCACCTTGGAAATGTTTTTTGAGCAAGCATCAACTAACAGCCCTGCATTAACATGGTGAATAGCTACAGTTCAACCTTGTGGAGGAGGAAAACAAGAGAAGTCATTGCTAAGCCTAACTTCTCATGTACAGCTTTTCTTCATTTATCTGCTCTTTCTTTTCCTTTCCTCTTCACTGTAGACAGGTCTTGCAGGAGAACATGAACCAAAGTTGGCTTATTGTTGCCTAAAGTTGCTAGTTAGCACTCCTGCTAAACACATTTCAGTAAAGGCTAGATTATTTATTCCCCTAGCTCCTCTCTCCTGGCTACACATGCATACAGAGGCTCTGCACTGGCCTCTTCAGAAAGGCCTGCTAATTCACCCTCTGCTTTTGTAGTCTAGGCTCCCTAAAATTTTGTTGCAGAGGCTTCTTCAGTGACAATCAGGTGAAGAAGGCTTGCTTCAGGTTTACAGCAACCAGTTAATGTGTGAAAACAGCTTCTTCACACTAATACTTTTGTGCATAGTAACAAACAGGTTTAAAACATGCCATGCTCCCTTAGATGTGGCCAACACTTTCTGGGTTCAAAAAACCAAGCACTGTACAGAGAGCCCCCAGTACTTGCCAGTGCAACAAAGGACAGTAAAAGCAAGGAGAAAACCATTGCATCCCTCTCCAAATCCTAGATTTTACGCTTGCATTCAGTTCTTTCCTCCAAATAAAATGCAATAATAATCCTGGACAAAAAAGAGAAAGCACTTTTCCTTACACAGCAAAATAGCACAACTTAGTTTAATAGTGTATTTTGCAACACAGACGGTTTCCTGCCCTCCAATACTCGAGCCACGACAGAAATAACAGTGCTTCCAGCAATCTGAAAAGACCTAATGGTAAAGGAGAGCACTACATTTCACAGCAAGACAAGAGGGTTGAGAATAACATCAATTTTCCTCTATTTCCCATTGGCTTTTACCTAGGGTGGAATGGCCATTACAGCTACAAAGCACATTTCCCCTGTCCCGGATGTGCTGGTTTGTGCATTTGCTCTCTGCAGATTTCTCACTCCAAGAGCAGCTGTGTCCTCGTAACCATGGAAACTGCTTGTGGCAAATTCCCTCAAAACACGAAAGTAGAAGGATAGAAAGGAACAAACATTTTAAGAAGGCTGTACACGAAGAGCAAGACAGCAGCTTATCTTCATAGAACATTCCCGGTGGCTTGGGGATCGCGTGAGAGAGAAAGCCATGGTTTCTTGAAGCTGGAGGGCTGGCTGCTCACCTTCCTAACTGGACAAAATAGAGGACTTCATCCAAGGTTGTTCTGTAGCACTACAGTTGTACTCTCTGAAGACTTGCACCTATGTAGAGTCAAAGCTTTTCTGAACTTCTGGGGGAATCAAAGGACTCAACACTGAATTTTCATGGCAGTGCAAGACAACCTTGTGCCATGCCTAGGACAGAAGTACATCAAATTTAAAAGAGTAACTTGGATCATCTTCAAAAGGAAAAAAATAAAGGCGTGCACCTGTGTAAAACTGTAACAAAAAAAGCAAGTCACATCTGAGTAGACCTTGGTCCTCCTAGTTCAGGGTTCTTTCTCCAACTGGGCTTGTAAATAGGGAAGAGTAAATACCCTTCATGCAGCCCTTCCACCCTAATACTCCCTACCTGTAACTCCCCCATGTAACTCTTCAGGCTTTCTCCTGCTCCAGTACATCTTGACAGGAGAGGACCTGAACTGCACAGAGGAGGGTGAACCTTGGAGTCATACAATGGCTTTAAAAAAATTCTCTATTCTCTTTCCTAGAAGTAATAACGTTTAATCTTCTTTCCCATTACTACTGAGCACTGAGCTGTTGGAGCTATGTATTATAAACCCCCCAGTGTCACCCATAAGTGACGAAAATGATACCATAGCTCCATATTTTATACATGAGGCCAGGATTACTTCTATCCTGGAGTTACATTTACCTGCATTGAATTTCATCTTTTATTATTACTGTCTCAAGTACAGCAGGTCTTTCTCTGTGCCTCAGTCTAACTCTGAGTCCCTCCAGATCACTTGGGTGAATACCACCAGACAGACCTAGACATTGGATAGTTTTTTGTTTTCTTTGTTTGTACACCTCAGCCCGCTCCATGATTAATTCAGACTTCAGCCTGATCATTTCCTGAGTCACTGATTAAAAGAACAGAGAATTTCTCTTATTTCCTCTACAGCTATTGGAAAAATAATTGTTTCTCCGCAGTAGCCTTGTACACATGGCTCTCAGATAACCCCACCAACTTTCTGGTGGAGTTTTTGTTAGGTAGCCTTGATTCCTCCTCCTCCTCTACCCAGAGGTTTCACAGCTGCTGCTCAAGGCCAGCTCTGACACCGTGCAGCTGTGTGACCTTGGGCCTGACTGCTGGGAACAGAGCTGGGAGAAGTCTTGCTGGGAGCCCCTGCTCTTTCCCTTGGTAAATGCATCTAAGATGTTCTGTCAGTCCCCTCCTGAGCTATGCTGTAGGTGTCCCCGTGCCCACCTTTGCTCCTCACCAGCCCATCCCTGACCCAATGACTTGACTTCCCAGCCCCAGGCCTCATCACCACCATGGGCTTGCCTGACCAGCTGGACTCCTGCCTAGCCCAGGTCACTGCCACCCAACCTGCTCTGCTCTCTGTGCCTGGGCACCGTGGGACTGGGACCCAGGCACGAGGGAGCAGTCCTGCCAACCTTGCTTCACCTTCATTCCCAGCTCCCCTTGCCCTGAGGGGCAGCCTCAGCCCCACTGCTCCCTGACAGACAGGCTGAGGAATCAGGAAGACTGATTCTTCCAGCCAATCTTCAAGTCTGGAGCATAATATATTATAATAATATTTTTCAAATCCAAGAGAACTAAGCATGAGTTGTTTTTGAAGAGAAGTGAAGACTCCAGTTTGTTCCACTGCTAGCTGAGGAGGCAGGACAGCTGTGTCCCCACATTTCCTGTGCATGACCTTCATCTTGTCACTTAGATGCTCCCTGAGAGTCTCTCTTGCTCTAGAAAGGGATAAAGTTTCCTCCCGAGAGCAAAGGAACCCTGCTTCTTCCCTCACTGTACCAAAATGTCAACAGTGACGGCCCTGGCTGGGAGGCTCTGGAAGTTTGCCATTTTCCTTAGCAAGCTACCAGGCTTCACATACAGAGCAGGGACAAGACTGACTACAGAAGAGAAGTTGGTCCTCCTCTGTGTATTAATACAAATAACGCACTAGCACTAGGATATAAAATTGGGCATCAGGTATCATTCCCAAGCCTTGTCCAAATATATTTAGAAACTCAAAGAAATAATGTTTTCATATAGAAGCAGCAAGAATAATCTTTACTAGAAAGTATAACAATTTAAATTGCTTGCATTGGTATAGCTAGTTTGAGCCTCAGCTAGCAGGATTTCCTTTTTAAATGGGTATTTTAGCAACAATTTTACAATGCCAAGCTGTAAAGATGAAGACCTGTACTTTTCTTCTCACTAAGCTTCAGAAAATTACTCCTGCAATATTGCTTTCCAAAAAGAGTGCTAACACAATTTTGATAGCTGTGTGTTGAGGTACAGGCACAGAAAGTGAGAAATAAAATTCAATTTAAGATCTATAGTGCATGCTTAAGCACGTTGCAAATCTAAACTTCTACAGGGTGCTAAGGGCACCTTGGAAAGGCAGGAGGTCAAAACCACCAAGCTTCTTGGCATAGAAGCCACACAAGATATTAAAATATCTATTCATACCTATTCTGCTCTGTAGCACTGCAGTTACATATATCATACCTATTCATTATACATTTACATTTTCCAAACTGGCTAAAATGCTTATTTTAAATCAGATTTCAGTCTCACATCTAAGTTTAAGAAACACTGGTACTAATAGAATAAAATGAAAACAAGCATGTTAATTTCCTCACCTTGAACATTTAACATCAGTTCTGCATTTGACCTGTCCCTACCTGGGTGCAGGGAGATCCATAAAGCATCTGCACAGAGCATGTAAAAGATTGTTAATAGCAATAATTGCAACAGGTCACAGGACACACTTCAGTTCTGCAGCTGAAATGGAACAAGGACTTTGAATTTTGGTCCAAAAGCCTCCCAGAACAGGCTTGGCATTTCTTAGGCAACTGATCATAGCCAAAGGAAAGATGTTCCTGCCTCTCCTGTGCAGACTGTCCTCCCAGCACAGCAATCTGGTGATTGTCTCGGCTGCCAGACAGAAGCGGGTGCACTGTCACACCGGGCCCTAGGGAATCAGGGCTGCTCATTGTACATCACATCCTTTCCCCAAGGCCTTAGTCATTCAAAAGGTTTAAAGTTGCAGTGGACCTAGAGAGAAAATGAGACCTCCCCTTAGATATGCAGGGTGGCAAGTAAAAGGGGGGCGTCTACAGCAGGTGACTGAACAGCAGCCCCTGCTTGAGCCCTGTCCTAACACTCACGCTGAGGTGGAAGAGCTTGGCTATCTAAATACCACACAGCAATGTGCAGGGCAGGGGCACGTGAATCCTGATCTCAGCAGCAATTAAATTTCGCCACTTTGTGAAGTGTGTGAGCAGCAAGGTGGAAAGGTAATGAGATAGGAATAATTCACTTGGTGGAAACAGCCTATGGACTAGAAAGCCAGCTGCAGGTTTTAATTGTTCAGGATAACATTTCCTTCAAATGCATGCCCCATAAGCTTCCCTTAACCAGAAATTCAACGTTCCTAAGTACCATCAGTGTCTCTGTTCCCAAGCTGTAGCTGTGGTCCCTGCAGCAGCCATAAGCAGAAGGCAGCTATTTTTAGCCCAGCAGCCTGGAGTCCCATTTCACGGGTGTTATGTCTGAGTATGCTTCACAGACCAAAAGGGTAACACTGCTGTACGCAGGCAGGATATTTTCCCTCTTCGGGTAATTAGATGTGTTAAGGGAGGTTCCTGATGAGCACATCTAACTGCATATAAAGCACAAAAGATATCTATCTCCCTTTGCAGCTATTAGTGAATCACCATTTCGATGCCTAGTAAGCTTGCACATTAAAGTCTAATTGCTTCCTGCTTCCCTCATTAACCTGAATTACTCTACCTACCCATAAAAATCCTGCTCTTCCAGGAGGTACTGCAGTGCCTGACAGTCTCGGATCAGTCTAAATCCCTGAATCTGGATCTGCAATCTCAGAGCTGTCAAAAGCAATAATTCCATCTTATCTATTTATCATAGCCATGTAACTCTTCGGCAACTCTCTTGACTCACCGAAGTATATTTCTCTGCCCTGGTGCTCGCTTCATAAAAATCCTGGCTGGCATTGTGGGTCTATGGAAAATAATGTGTGTTTTCCATATAAACATTTAAAAAAGCTTAAGCCCAAATCTGGTTAGTTCACTATATATAGCTGTAGTATCAGTTACTATATCCCTCAGCTGGAGATCTTGCTCCTGTTTTGCTAACACCTGCTTACACGTATTTGCCAGCTTTTTCTCTCCTCAGTCATGTATCTAACCACCCATCCTCCACATCTGGCTTTCCTCCTTCATTATTTCTCAGGTTGTTAAGCACGGAGGAGACAAATCTAATTGGAAGTCTTCTTACAGCCTGCGAACTGCAGATCTCTGCATTGCAATACAAGATGGGTTAAACGCCCTTACTGCCTCCTGGATATGGGGAATGGGACTCCCAGCCCCCCCAGCCAGTTCACAGCCAAACCCTGGGATATTATAATGTTTTCCTGACTGTGCTCCAGTAGTGATGAAGTAGGAAGGAGACCAGAATTGTTTATTCCAAGAGTTCCCTAGCTTGCACATTGAAGATAACCAGCAGTCAGTGATTACGCAGCCTCCGCGGTAATGTCCCATCAGAAGAGAAACAGAAGCAAAGTTCCCAGTAACCAAGCATCGACCTCAAAGACAGTAAATTGATTATTTCTAGAAGCTACATGTGAACATACTTCATCATTTTAGACTAAAATGTGAAGAGCCACTGCTGTGGTTTAACCCAGCAGGCAGTTATGAATCATATAGCTGTTCCCTCACCCCATCGCCCCCATCTGGGTGTGAGAGAGAAACAAGGGGAAAAAAAAAAGTACAACTCATGGGTTGAAATAAAAACAGTTTAACAGGACAGAAAAGGAAGGGAATATACTACTAGTAATAGAATACACAAAGCAAGAGATGCACAATGCACTTGCCCATCACCTGCTGACCAATGCCCAGCCAGTCCCCAAGCAGCAGCACCCCCCTGCCCACCCAACTCCCCCCAGTTTTATTGCTCACCATGACACTACATGGTGCAGGACGTCCCTTTGGCCAGTCTGGGTCAGCTGGCCTGGTTCCCTTCTCTCCCAGCTCCTTGTGCAGCCCCTGCCTCCTCCTGGCAGGGCAGCGTGAGAAGCTGAAAAGCAGTTGACTCAGTGTAAGCACTGCTCTGCAATAACTAAAACGTTACTGTGTAATTAACATTATCCTCATCCTAAACCCAAAACACAGCACTGTAACCAGCTACTAGGAAGAAAATTAACTCTATCCCAGCTGAAACCAGGACAGTCATTAATTCTTTATAAGTATCAGCATCATATCAGCGTTCTCTAGAAGTTAAGCCAACAAGGAGTTGTATTCTCCAGACAAAACAAACTACACTATAAGCTTATATATCACACAAAGAAATATTCCCAAGTATCCATTTCTTTAGACATCCCTAGAAAGCACTCCCCTATAACAGAACAGTTGACATCTGTATCAGCACAGGCTTGTAAAGATGAGGTTTACCAGAGCAAGCAGATCCAGGGAACTCACTGCTGGGTGCAGCAAGGGGTCTCAGCAGCCCTCCAGCAGGCACCAGGATGCGCACCAGCCAACCCAGATGGCAGCCTAAGAGCTTCTAGGAGCCAGACTGAAGGTCCACACTCTTACAGAACAGCCCAGGAAGAAGCTAAAGGCTTCTTAAAGGGCTGTACTGAAGGAGAGCTGTGGTGAGAGGGTGTGGCGGTGCAAGCGGTCAGGGCAATCAAAGCCAATTAGTGCCCTCAGGGCCCTGGCACCTGCTTCTGTGTGCATTCCTAACCTGTGAGTATGGAAATGGAGCACACCGTGAAAGATAGATACATGGGGGACTAAGTGAAACAGAAGCTGGAATAGATAGATCCTATGAGCTGTGCAGTGCTTTTTAAAGGACAAACACCACAGATTTTGTTGCTGCAAAATGTCTGTTTCTGCAACATTCAGCACACTCATTTTATAGTAGGGCTCCTGATCAGACACACAAAGCTCCTTCCAACAAGACCAACGAGGACCAATACCATTCCTTGCAGGGTAACTGGTGAGGAACAGCAATTTAGCACCCAGATAACACCCGTACAAGGGAACCCAAGTCCACTCTCACTCTGACAAAGATGACTTACTGCAGCTTCAAGACTGAAACGATCCCTGGAGATCTCTGCTTGCATTACAATCCTTCCCTTATTTCTGCATCCCTCTCTTCCCAAGCCATCCATGTGCCCCCTTGTGCCCCCTCCACATACACCCACTGCTTTCTTTTATATCTGAAGGTCACTTCAAGACCGCTGAATGCAGCATGTGGTATCTCTGCGTGCCCAGCCACCGTAGCCAGCTCCCTCGAGACAAAAAGAAACTTGACAAATTTCTGTAGGCTTCTGTGTTGGGAAGAGCTTATGTTCATGCAGAAGTCATGGATCCTGTTCAACTCAATTTTAATATCTACAAGGGAAAATAATGGACAATGGTTGTTTTGCTGGTGCTGGTGGTATTTTTTGTCTGTTTTGTTGTTTTCATTTTACGTAATGAATTTGGCTTCTGGTACATGCAATTACTTCTCTCTCCAGTCTGATTAGTACAAGGTGATACAGCTAAGCAAGAGGTCATGATTACCAATGGATGGTTTCCAAACTAAACTGCAAAGATAAATGAAGCTTATCTACCAATGGAAATTACCGAAGCTGTTTACAGCCCCCCATGATGCTAGAGGCATTTTAAGGTTACAAGAGCTTTGTATGGAGGACCAGTGCCTCCAAGCAGTTGAGAGCCTCCTGTAAGATGCCAGGGGAGCCAAAGGAGGCTCAGCATCTCACAGTCCTTATAAACACATACTGCAATTGTGGCCAAACATTGTTTTTTTTTGCCAGGCTGTGTCAAAAGTAGCTGCAACAGAACACACAAAGCCTCACATAGAGCTCCAACTTATGCTGTAAGAGATTTTAGAGAATAATCCTGTTTGTTTCTTTGGTTTTGTTTTGTTTTGTTTTAACTTAATTTGAAAACACATGCACAAAGCCGATGCCAGGATGGTTTTACTCAAGATTCAATGTGTATTTGGGTTTTCTTCTTGCATCATCTGTCTTCTATCAACTATTTTCTTTATCTAAAAGCCTCTGAAAACTGTTTAACAGACTCTGCACACTAGAAGCTGGGTGCTGAAGCTGGTGCCTGCAGCCTGGGCAGGAGCTGGGTCTAATCCAGCCCTTTCTGTCAGCAGTGGGCCCTTGTACAGCTGAGAGCTCATCTAGAAGCCATCAGCTTTTCAGTTCAGAGATGCAGTGAACATCACCAGGCAGCAGAAAATGAATTTTACTCCTGTGCAGTGTTTGAAAAAGCATCTTTAGAGATGAAGAAGCTTTTCTTTACAATCTCACCTGAGCAGGTTCCCATAAAAGCAGCCTTTCAAGTGAAGAATGGTACCTGTAACCTCTGTGGCACCTCCCGTCCTGTGGTGCACGGTATCTATCTGCTAGCACCGGGACAAAGACTAAGCACTGCAAAAGTCTGTCCTAGTCATCTCTTGCTGATGTGGAAGTTTGAACTGTTCTCTCTCTCACCAGAGCATGTGGGGTTATACACTTCAACTGTAAGAAGCACAGGCGTAATGTTAATGGGGCCTAGGAGAACCTAAGAAAGTCTGAATTCATACAATTCAATAGTAAATGCATCTGAGCAAGCTCCACAGCTTCACTGTTGCTCTAATCTTTTAGGTGAATGCGAATTCTCCAACTATTAGATAGAGATATATTGTATATAATATTACCTTGATGTTCTTGCCTTACCTAAATCCCCCAATGTATGTATCACTAACAGTGTTAATTATAATGAGAATGGTTTTAGAGCCTGAAGAAATTACGCTGAAAATGGGAATGCTTTGTCTGCTATAAAACTTGGGAACAGCACTTCAGGGTGTGAATATTTCCATAAGGAAGCAATTATATTGATGAAAGCTGACTGGTAAAATAGTCTGAATAATTTGTGTATGTGTGAGGAAGGGAATTCAGAGATAGCTGACTGGTACAGGAATGAACATTACTATGGGATGCAATGGGAAAACATTCACATATACATTTTTAAAGAGCTTGGTGCTGAGCTACAGACTATTCCTGCTACAAAAGAATCCAGTCTTGGAATCCAGTGCTGGCTTTTTTAAAGTTACTTGCTACAACAAATAACAAAAAGACTGATGGACACTATGTAGTGCAGTGTGATATCTTTTATCTTCCCTTTTCATTCTTGAGATCTAAAAAACTCTCAAGATTTGGCAACATTACAATGCCAGTGTATTTCATGACCTGAAAAATAAAACCCAAATGAGTTTGTCATCACTGCTCTTCCCAGAAGATGTGTACCTCCTGGTCCTTCAGTAACTAGTAGCATACTTCACCTTTACTCTGCTCATGCAGCTAACAGCAAGAACTGGTACACATTATTCCCTTATAGCACGTGAAAGGAAGAAGCCAAAGCTGCTGAGAAAATAAAGACTGGCTTTTTAACAACACAGCTTACGTAGGAAGTGGCTTTGCGTTGTGGAGAGGGGTTCGGAGATTAAGTCCTTGTGTCATCATTTCTGTCAGAATCATCAGAAGCTAACTAATGACCCATGCCAAAAATTACATTTTCATCATTAGATTTCTGAAGCTACAGACCACTGAAATGAATGGCAGCACTTTGCATCCCAGCAGATATTTTCTGCAGGGTTGTGCAGGCTGGGCAGAGAGGGTTTTATACCTGCTGCAATGGGAGCACAGGGGAGGGGTCTTGTTTACAAACTGAAGAGAAAGTTTTATTTCAGCTACTCTTTTCTTAAGTGATGACAGTACTAGTTTTTGGAGCACGGTACTGCAGCAAGAACTGAATTCTGCACCATAATCCGTGTCTGAATACACATTTAACCATCTTGTTGCAATGGAAAATAATACATGCATTTCTGAAAAATCTCTGAAAAATTTCTGAAAATCCTGGCATCCAGCATTTTAGGGAAGGAACTGCAAGGAATGTTTCTGCAGGCTGATTATGAAATTGTTTTCCTAGCACTGGCTGCAAACAAACCCCAACATGTTAGGTATGAGCTCTTCCCCCAGTCACAAAACATGGCATTGGTTCAGGCCTTGCAGCCCCCACGTTCCTACACCCACAATGTGAGGGAAAACCTCTGCAAAGCAGCTGTAACTGCCCGGTCCCAGCAGCCAAGAGAGCCCAACATACGCAGCTGATTTGGTGAGAAGTTTCTTTCCACTTACTGTGAAAGTCTCTGCACCACAACACTAGGGTTGTACTTCAGTGACAGCTTTTGCCCGTGTATTTGCACTTTCAGTACCTCCAGAGACTCATTCATATACAACCATATAAACTGGCAGTGTAGCCTTGCAGACAAAAACATGTTAACTCACCACAACTATGGCCACAAGTCATTTAAACTCCACCGTTTTACTCCTTTTCATCAGGATTGCCCCATGGAAATGGCCACTTCCCACCCAGTTATTAGGAATCAAGGATGGGTAAAGCCTGCCTGTGCTCCAAAACCCTCCCCTGCCCCTGCCTGGGGATCAGCTCAAGGTCCCCACCACCACTGGCCAAGGAGCAAGGCAGAAGCTCTGGTGCGACCACCCAGCCATGAGCTCCACAGACACGGCCCATGTGGATGTCAGGTGGCAATGAGCTCCTCCTGCCTGATGGGATCCAGGAAGGAGTGACAGCAGCATGGTGACAATCAACCCTGGACAGAAATTAAGGAACAGCTAAGCACAGATGTCAGGATGAATTCCTGTTTCTCAAGACTTTTTTTTATCCTCCTAGAGAAGCAACTACAAGACAAGAATCTTTCAGCCACCAAGGTGAAAGAAGCAGCAGCAGCTAAGAAATTGTTGTTTGCTTTTTTTGTTGTTGTTGTTACTTGTGTTTTTTTAAGCTTTTCACTTCTTTGAGATAAATTCTCTTCTGTGAGAGATTTTGTTGTGACACAAATCTGCTGACTTAAAAATGCCCCAAAAGGGCTCTGTAAAACAGAAAAATATCCCTGTAAATCCTCCACAGCTGCCCCAACGAACAATTGCAAGGATATTTTGTGGTGATTCCTAAAGAAGAACCACATCTTACCCAGGGAGTAAGTACCTAGGACTATACTTTTATTTGCTCCTCAGTACTTGATGGCTCAGCTGAGGCAGGTCCCACAGGCCTAGACCTCTTCTCACACTTGTGTTATGCAGAGGACATTGCCTGGAAAGCCAACAGGAGTGGCCCAAGCACCACACTGAAGGGCTGGCAGGACACAGCAGAACACATGTGCCTACTCTACAGGGCTCAATTGCGGGTGAACTGTGTGCCAGGCTGGCCCCATAGAGTAATTCAGAGTATTTTAAGACGTGAGCTGAAGGACAGCTGGCCTGGAATAGAATCCTGCAGAAATGTAGAAAGCTCTGAAGACTGTACCGTAACATACACATACAAGAAAGCTTCACTAGAAACGTAAATGAAATTTTCTAAATTTCTACTATTGCATTCAAGTAAAGTCTTAGTAGTCTTTTAACAAAACCTTGTGTACACATAATCTGCATCTTGGACTGGAAATGCAAATTTGTTTTTATTCCTCAAAGATGATATTGTTTCTACATCATCACCGATCTATTCTGAACCTATGAATTGACCATATGCATAAT